CCAGCTTCTGCAGCCCGCCCGCCGTGGTCCACGCCAACTTCTTGTACCATCTGGCGGCCGCCGCCGCCGCCGCCTCCCCCCGGCCCCCGGCCCCGGCCCCGGCGGAGCCCGGCGGGCTGCCCGCCCTCCGCGGAGCTCCCGGAGGAGTCAAACCGGAGCTGCCGGAGGAATGGGGCCGGCCCGGTTGGGTTCCCGCCGCCCCGGCGCTGCGCTGCTCCGGCGGCCCGGGGAGCTGCTTCGCGGAGATAAGGGATGATAGGGTGTCCGAGATCACATTCCCACACTCTGAATTTTCCAATAATGCCAAGAGTACTGACCTAACAATTAACTGTGTTGCAAAGGGGGCCTCTTCACCTAGCCCAAAGACAAACAATGCATTTCCACAACAAAGAATACTCAGAGAGGCAAGGAAATGCCTTCAAGCAACTACTACACACCGTGCAGATAACAATACAATAGCTGCTAGGTTCTTAAATAATGATTTTTCATCAGCGGCAGCAAATTCAGAGAAAGATTCCAAAATCCCTCATTGTATTGAATTTGCCACGGATTTGCCCTCTTTACAAACTGATCCTGAGGAGGATGCTGCTTCTCCAGGGGCAGCAGCAGCAGCAGCAGCAGCTGAGCTCCAGTGCACTGATACAGGCAATAAGGCATTGCCATTCCTGCACAGCATTAAAATCAAAATAGAGGACAGCAGTGCGAACGAGGAGTATGAGCCCGACCTTACAACACATAAGCTAAAGTGTGAGTGCAATGATACTAAGGATGAGTTTTACGGTGTGACTGAGAGTAATACCCAGGACGCTTTATTAACAGCCAAGGAAGATTCTGCATGCACTGAGAAAGAAACCACTTCCTTAAACCCGCTGACTCAGAGTCAGGTCCTCTCATGCACTTTAGGTACTCCAAAACCTGAGGATGGGGAGTATAAATTTGGAGCAAGGGTGAGAAAAAATTACAGGACACTGGTTTTGGGAAAGCGACCTGTACTGCAGACTCCTCCAGTCAAACCAAATTTGAAATCAGCTCGAAGCCCACGTCCTACAGGTAAAATCGAGACACATGAAGGAACACTGGATGATTTTACAGTTAACAATAGACGCAAAAGGGTAGCCAGCAATGTAGCATCAGCAGTGAAAAGGCCATTTAATTTCATGGCAAATTTTCCCTGTCCACCATCACTAATTATTGGCAATGATGGGGATTTGTTGCCAGCTTATTCCTTAAACACCACTAAGGATTCCCAACCACCTCACAAGGCCCATCCTGTATGGAAATGGCAGCTGGGCGGTTCTGCAATACCTCTTCCACCTAGCCACAAATTCAGGAAATTTAATTAATAAAATAGTTTGGAAAATATTTTCTTGAACCACCTTTAACTTTCTTACGTTTTTTTTTTTTTTTTTAAACTCTGCAGGATGGTTTGTACAAGCCCATTAATGCTATACACACTTTTGGAATCCTGTTTTATCACATTGTGAAGACAGAAACCGGATTACTATTTTCTTTACCATTACAACAGTGGGGGTTTTTTGTTTTGGTTTGGGTATTTTTTTATTTTTTTTTGTTCTGTTGCATTTGGGTGTTGGTTTTTTTTTTTTTGGTTACATTCCACAGAGTACTTCAGGCTAAAGACTCAAGTTAAACTCAGTTATTATGGTAGAGCTGGAACACTTTACTGTTTAAATGCTAATAATGCACCAGTACCTCAATTCAACTGCTGCAAATAAATGTCAAAAGGTTGAATAATAAATATTAGAATGAGCCATTAAATTTATGCACTAGATTTCGAAAATGGAAGTCTAACTGTTAATTCAGTTAAAGTTTGTTAAGTTACATGGTTGCACAGTAAGGGTTCACTATAATTCAATGTGGCAGCAGCCTACTTTTCGGGAGCTTTGTTTTCGGGTGCAGGGGTGTCTTTTTCGAAGAGCAGTTGCACTTACTCCTTTTTTTTTTTTTTTCCCTCTGGTTTGGAAAGGCTGGGGTCCGCCTGCGACCCCAGCGCTGGGAAAAGCTGCCTCATCTGAAACCAGTAAATAAACGTGGAATTCTATTTTTGGTAAAAGGGTGTCTTTTTACTTGGTACAGCCACTCTTTGCAATTGGGAAAGCCTTTTTGTTTCACCCAGAGGTCTTAAATAAGGTTACTGTTACCCACTAATGTCATGCTTAAGTTGTGGTCTGAACATGCCCCTTACAAACTTGCAAAGCAACTAAAATATTTGCCCGGCCAGCAGCACAATTTATGGTCCAGCCCCTCACGCTGGCTGGAGGAAATAGCAAAGCAGTAAATACAACACAGAAAGTGAAACGAGAGGCCGTAAGTGGCAAGAATACACAAAACGAGAAGACCATGTTATTCATAGCTTTTTTGGCACCAAAACTCAGGCGTTTCAACCGTGTTACACTTCCCGGTTCTATCCTCATCTCTTGAAATCTGTTGTCGTGGTTGGTTTTGTTCGGGTTTGGGTTTTTTTTTGTTTGTTGGTTTGGTTTTTTGGTTTGTTTTTTTGCCATGCCATCCTCTCTATGTAGCAGAAACATTTCTACTGCACGTGACAATCAGAGGCAATTATCTATATTTGCACTTAATATCGAAATAGTCGAACAGGCAGACTTCTAGAGTCTAGCCCTCGGTAAGACATGCTGGTATAATATATTGTGATGATGGAAGCAGTAAATCAAAATTATGGAAATTTGCACTGTTGAAAAGCATGCTTTAGCTTTATTTTCAATTAAAAACACTGTTTTGAAAAAAAAAAAAAAAGTCCTGATTCCATACACTTTGAATTATTGCAGAGTTATCCGTGGTTTCCTCTCCGTTTGTAAGTTCACTGTTTTTATTTGGAGGAAATACGCTTCAAGAGGTTAACTGTTTCCCTCCCTCCCTCCTCCTCCTCCTCCTCCTTCCCTCCTCCACCCCCCCCTCCCCAAACCCTCGAAAAGAAAGGGAAGGAAAAAAAAAAGAGAAAGGCCGGAGGCCGAGGTGGAGGCAGAGCCAGAGCTGAGGACGGGGGAAGGTCTCTCTGGCGGGGGGAGGACGGGTACAGCAACTCTGAAAACAGCCTGAAAAGTTTGCAGCTTGAGAAAGGCAGTTATAATTGACTTGCTGAATCAGCAGAGTTTAGGATGAATAATTGCTGGTTTCTTTCTTTGGATTAGCATTTTATTTATACTAGATCATTCCCAAATTAAATTTTAAGGATTCCACTCATCGATCAATCCCGGGAGAATAATTTATCGTAAATCAAAAAAGGAAAACAAAGCAACAATGTAATGTTTACTGTGTGACTCAAAGTCAACATGTCTGATGGCAATCCACTGCCTGGGTTTCAATTTTTTTTTTTTTTTTTTTTTTTTAATTCCTGCCTTTTGTGATGCCCTCTCCCAACCCCTCGTGTCTTTAAATATTCCAAGCAGTCACTAACCCATTTCTGGTCTCTTGACTACATCCACACCGTAGCAGTTTTCCTCTCATTGTAAAAGGCCTGCTCTCAGAATACCTGCAGCCAAATATATTTAGAAAGAGTAAACAATTGCCTTTCAGTGGAGTTACCCTTCCCCCCCCCGCCCCGCGTGCACACACACACATCACTTTAAACTGCCAATTCCAAAAGGTGCATTGCATACTTAACCGCTCTGCTGAAATGACGATGGTCACGAAAAATCTGCTTACTGGAGTTGTTCTGAGATGAATGTTTACATGCGTGTGTTTAGAGCTGCACAGATCACAGCCTTATTGCCAGAGTCACTGTAAATACGTACAAAATGTACCGCTCAGGAAAGCCCCCCGCTCTGTTAGAAAGCCGTGTCTTCTTGACAAAGGTCTTCCCTTGACCAAAAAAAAAAAAAAAAAAAAAAAAAAAAAAAGGAAAAAAAAATAAATAAAAAGAAAGAGCCAAACCCAAAAGCTACAAAGGTGCAATATACAAACTTGAAACCTAAAATTTCATCTTGTCAACTAAACAACGTATCGCTTTCAAAGTAACTCTGTCCCCTGACCCTGTTTACTTCCAATTAGAGATATGCTGATTTGGCCAGGAATTGTAAATTACAGAGGTGCCTTTTCAGGTTCCCGAAATAATCCCGGGGTGAAGGAAGGGGGAAGAAGGAATAGCATAAATTTTATACCAAATAGGCTCTGCAGAGTTGAGGAGGTGAAATATGGCGCCCAGCCCTGCCAGCGGCCAGGGAGCTCCAGGCCCAGGAGAGGGAACGGGGCAGGGAGACCCCCGGGTCTGGCACTCCCTGGGTACCCCCTGGGTACCCCCTGGGCACCCCCCTCCAACTGGGCTCCCCTCCGTGCAGGCGACATCAAAAGGCACGAAAGTTAACCAGCCAAATAATTTTCACACGTGTACACCTCCGTTCAGTGCAAAGCCACTAACAAGGACATTCGTGTTTTTACTGCCCTTGGAGAAATTAGCCAGGTACAATAACGCGCTGGGGAAAAAAAAAAAAAAAAAAAAAGAGGAAAAAGAAAAGGTATTTTTTCCAATTCTGGTAGTTTGGTAACTGTTTCTGAAGGCATTGTAATTATTATTGCGAGCAGAGTTCATTATAATTTCAGCCTTAATAATATAAACTCATATAATTGAGTTATATATAAATAACCCATTTTCTCCCATAAAGGTAAGTTCTAATAACGAGGGGGAAAAAAAAGGTTTTTCTAGTGAGCCAGGTTACCATTCTGTTGCAATGTTTACAGGAGATAAAACTTAAAATGCATTAGTAATGAATCGCCACCATTTTCCAATTCCTGGTGTACACGAAAAATCAACAGAATTTTCTAGAGGAAAAAGCAATTGAGGGAAGCGTGCGTAGTTCACGGACTGTTCTCCATAGGTATTTGCCACAAGCAGAGTTCTCCTGGTAAATTTATTGGGAAGATTTCTGTTGCCAGATGGAATACAAAAGAAAACTTTTGGACTATGCTTAATTCTCTAGAGCATTAAAAAGGGAACGCGTGTAATGCCTTCAGCAACGAGGTGTATTGCCTTAAAAGATGTAACTTGCCGTTTACAACAATTTACTTGCAGAAGTGACTGTTCTATAACCTACACTTACTTGACTACAGTGGGATAATCTCTTTACTGGTTGTTTATTTAAAATGCCACTACGAGCAATAATGCAAAATAGTGGGAGCTGTTGTATGAAGTTTGCTGTTCAATCAGTTCACTCGGTGTTTTTTTTTTTACATGGTCTCTGATCCTTTTTCCTCTAACAGATTTAGTTGCCAATAAATTAAAGTTTCTGCAGAAATGAGAGCAATGCTATCATGTTTTTGTTTGTCTCCGTTCACACGTGCGAGTGGTTGAGACAGAGGGGTAAAAAAGCGGCATTTTCGACACACGGCGGTAATCTGCAGGAAAATATTCTACACATGCAGTATGTTAGAGGACATGAAACACGGGTAACGTTGTTAATTGTGGTTTTTATGGTTAAGAGGATTGCTGGGAAGAATATGTAACGGCTCATCCTGGGATCCGCTTGGTCAGCCGGGAAGTAGGAATGGAGGGGCGAGCGCCTGAGAAATGAAAAGCGCTGGTTAGGGAAAGGAGGAGGGAGGCACTGGGATCTACCTTGCTCCGGCCATGCCCGCAGAGAGATCCCCGCTCCCCTGCTATTTAGGCCCCGCAACCGCAGCAAGCGCGGCCTCCCCCGGCCGCTGGGCCTGCGCCGGGGCTCCGCTGGCTGCGGGGCGGCCAAGGCCCGGCCCGGGCCCCAAAACCCTCGGGGAAGGGAGAGCTCAACCGGTTTCGGGCCTTCCACGTTGCATTTTTGCACTGCGCTGATATAATTATTTGCCGTGCCCTAGGCCCCTCTCGCTCCCCCTCTCCCTTTCACTCCGAGGCGGCCTCACAAGCCCCCGCTTTAAAAGGCCCGAGATGTTTTGCATGAAGCGCTCACAATAGGGGTTGAGGGAATTGACAGTTTCAAAAACAAGGCGCCCTGTCCCTTTCCAGATGCCGAGGACCCCTCTCCCGCACCATCTCTCGTTTGCTCCTCGCTGCTGGTGGCTTTATCTTAGCATTGCAAATATACGGCAACAGCTGTGTTTGTAAACAGGGGGGGAGGCCGGGCGGGAGCCCCGCCGCCGCCGCCGGCCCTGCTCCGCTCGGCGTGCTGCCTCCGCTGGCCGCCGCTTCCCTGCCTCGCCAGCCACCGCCTGGAAATTAAAAAAAAAAAAAAAAAAAAAAA